CCCTGGAGCCACCGCCCCCAGCCCCTCTAAAACAGTTGCGCCGAATTCGATCACCTGGAGCTTTGCCAACATCATTTTAACTGTTTGGGATTCGCAAGCAAGAACAGAGATGGAGAGCCCGACCCGGGGGAGTTTTCAGCTTTTCTGTTTCACTTTGGGTTTTCGTTAAATGACTGCTCTGCTCCAGCAAACGAATAGTGCTCGAGGTGGGGCGCCTCTGCTGCTACACCAGCGTCGGGACCCCCTTTCCGGGGGTCAGTCAGAGCCACAGGTGCGGGGGCCACGCCACCAAGACGGCGGAGGTGGCCGAGGGCAGCGGGTGCGCGCGGGGCGCTCTCGAGCCCGCGCAGGTCGGCCGGAATTCAGAAGGTAACCATTCATAAATGACTCTGTTACGGAGATTTTTGGCTAAAGGTTTTTGCTTTACCTCTATTGCTTGTCTGTTTCTATGAGCTCGTTCTTTGCTCCGTGTTATTTGAATTTCTATTATCGACCTTTCTTTCATGGAATCGCTTAAGGGACAAAGTTTGAAAATAACACTAAAACTACTTTAAACGTCTTGGGTACCCTCAGGAAATAGTCCGCTCTATGTGTTGATAAGATTTTTTATTGTGACTACAAAATGACTTTAAAATTGTCTGGGGACTGCGGCAAAACGCTAATCAGCCAACCGCACTAACCAGTTTCTCCCTATCATTGCTGGCGCGTTATCCAAGCGGCACAAAATAGCACGTTTGTGGTGTCTTCTTCGAAAGGCTCTCCTTTCAAATTTCAGTAACACCGTTGTAAATTATGAGCAAAACTTTGTTGTCTTTTTGTTGCTTATCTGTTTAGCCGTTCTCACGAAAAGATTGGAGAAATTGAATTTCTTGTTTATAAACTTCTTTTCCAATCCAGTCCGGCCTGACTTGTAGCCTCGCAGTCCAGAGGGACAAAACTCTGAGGCCTGTGGGAGAAAAACCCCAGCGTTAGTTGTTGGGGCCTAAACCAACCAGCCCTAGTGATCACTGCCTGTAAAGCCCGCAGCCTCCTTAATAGCTCAGGTGTTGGGGCGCATTACTTCCTTCTACAAACTGATTAAACAAGTAAATGCTATATTGGGAGGACTAATTTCACTGGGTTTAAAGGAAATCCTAATATAAAAGAAATAGTAGCAACAAAGTTCTACAGACAAACAACAGACCACCCTCTTCCCATTTCTTCTCCCCCAAAGAGAGGAGGCTCAATGGCTTCCCATTCTCCTAACCTGTGATGCTAACCTCCACAGGCTATGCACAATTAGCAAGAATTCTTTAGTTACTATCAAACTGACTGAAAGCCCTCAAGGAGCCTTAAATTTGAACTTGCTGCCCCTTTGTTTGTTTACATGCTGGAAAGTTCCTTCTCACTGTGTATTTATTAGCTCGTCTAAAATACTCAGAAAGACATTCCTTGAACCATGCAAAATCATTCTTGTTGGGACCTTACTCCATTACCCATTACCCTCTCCATCACACACCGGAATTAAAATGAAATGAAACAAAACAAAAAACAGAGACAAAGACTGCAGAGGAGTTTAGGAAAGTTTTTCCTGTTCTAGAGGTAAATTGTGAAGCCCTTGGTGCTGTTTATTAATCAGAAAAAAAAAAAGTGTAGCTATGTTTGAAAGCTTGGGGGCAATCAGAATAAGAACAATAATGCCTCCTTCTCTCTCCTTTAGCTCCCAGCAGCTAGTAAGAAGCAAAAAGACCTCCAGCTAGCCTGCTAGCTTTTGGTGAAGGGGTGGGGGTTAGGAATGCCTGACTGGCCTGAAAACCCTAGAAACAAGACCAGGGTCAAATCAATACACTCAGCAGAAGGTTGGGTATTTTACAGTGTTTAACTATTATTTTTAAAAAATTCAATAGTGTGTTTTGTCTTGTTGAGGAAAAAATAAAGACGATGGATTACTTTGTAACTTAAGGCTCTATTATATAAGTTTTTACTTCAAAGTGCAGTAATGTTGGCCAGAAATTACATTTCCTTCTGACAGGGATTTAAGTAAAAATCCTGAGAAAATTATGCAAGTTTTCGAGTAATGGCAAGAATATTGTTTAAGAATCACTGAAGTAAAAGTTTGGATACCTAGAAGATAACTCTAAATCGTTTTGGAGGAGTAGAACTTTTTAGTTATTTTTTTCAGGCAATGTTAACCCAGGTTTGTTTTCTGGTCTTCTAAAACTCAAGAAAAACTCTGGCACCCTCAAGATAAATAAAACATTTAAAATTCTCGACACCCAGGAGGACTTAATGTGGTTTGGTGGGGCAAAGAAATATTGCCTTTCGGTGGTTGGGAAGGGGAGGAACACTTAATCATTACCTTTGAACAAAAAGGGAGGATTATAGGTGTCTCCAAGAAAATACAAAGAATCTATAACGGCCGTTTCCATTTTGCCATTAGCAAAACAAACAAGAATCCCTCTTGTTCTTTTCAGTAAATTAAACAATTTTAAGTGCTGGAGCATTTTTAGAAGCTTCTGAATTTGCCAAGTATACTCTGCATTTACTACTTTTTCAAATATTTGGAAATAAAACAAATGACTATATAGACATGACAGTAAGAAACCCCTTCTAAATATATTTTGTATTTTAAGACAATACTTACTTTATAGAGATATGTTTAAAAGTTAACAGGTTTTGTCTAGGTTTGAGTGAAAAATATGAACAAATGTTGGGATATCAAGACCTGGATTTGTAAAGAACCTCTTCAGTCTTTAGGATTAGCAAGATCAGGGCTATTTTAAGAGAAGGGCATAATTGATGCTTTGCCACATTTGAATGACTCAAATGACACTTTCAAACACTTGCCAAAAAGCAAATCCCAAAAAGATCAGTGAAAAGCAAACTGTTAAATTAACTGTACGAAACATGTATAACACTTAACCAAAATTTTTCCTTTTTAATCTAGTGTCCACTGAAAGAAATTTATCGAGATCAAATGAAGGCTATTTTGCTGCTTAGGAGGAGAAGAGGGAGGGGGAAAGGAAAGAGGGAGGGACACACAGAGATGTAAAACAAACTGGTGGCTTCAGTCGAGAAGGCAGGTAAGGCTTCAGAGCCCAGGGAGTTGTGCAAGTCAGCTGGGTGCTCCAAGCTTTCCAGAACTGTGCTGTCTCCGGCTTCTTTGCTTTTTTCTTTAAAGTTGGCCCTGTGACGGAGGAGTGCAGCAGGAGGGGGATTTTTCGCTATTGGGAAGCCGCAGGTAGGAAAGGGAACCTGATCTGCCCCAAAAGGCAGCAATTAAAGTCTTAACTGCGACCCATCTGTCGTGAGACAGGGGACCCCCACCCCCAGCGCCGCCCTCCCTCCGGCAAAGCCCGTCCTGTGCCTTTTGTCTGAGCATGGGAACCGAGGACACAGATTCTGGGACCCCTAAGAGAAAAAGGAAGGAAATTTGCCAGGCTGAGGGGACGCCAGTGGCTGAACTCCAGTAAGGGAGGCTCCGAAGGGCCTCCCAGGTCGTGGGTCGCGTCTTTCCCCGCTCTGCCCAGGTGTCCAGCGCTCTGCCTTGTGCGCTTGATCAGTGCTGTATCTATTTTCCCACCTGGAAACCACCCAGAGACCAGAAGTAAGGCACTTCCAGGCCTAGCTCAGGCCGGTCGCTTTGAGCCAGACCTTCCCCCCCACCTCTAGCCTCTGGGTCACCCCCAACTTCAAATAGGATTCACTCCCCTCCCCTTTGCCTTCAGCTTCCCCACCAGCCCCTAGGCGCGTTCCCAGTCCACGCTGTCTTCTCTCCTCCCCTTTAGGCTCCTGGACATGAGCTGTAAAGCCAGTGTGGGGCTGAGGGGTCTGGGCTCCCGGTGTGGCATGTGCTGGAGTTAAGGGACAGAAGGAGTATACTGAGGTCAGTTTCCTCCGTTTGAGGTACGGCCTCGCATCTTCGGGTAAAATTGGCCAGAGACTCGACATCCTATGGGTTTCTAGTCGGACTTCACCCTCACTGCTGACCCTTTCCAGGGCTCTCAAGCCAGGACAACACACCAGGCTTGCCCAGATAGCGGTCAGCGGTTCCACGCTTACCCACTCGGGCTTACTCACCGGGTAGATGGCAGCTTGGAACACTGCAGAAGGCCACTGTTGCCGACAGCCAGGCCTACCGCGCCGTTCTTCCAGCTCTGAGCCCTTGCTTGGCCTCCGGGCGCCGGCTTTCGGCTGCAGCGTCACCCAACACCCTGAAACTTCTGGGCGCCGACTTCGGCTGCAGGATCTTGCAACACCCCGCAGCCTCTCGAGCTCACCTGGCCCCGAGGCTCAGCTCCTCCCGCCATCTCAGGCTTGCTACGGGCGGCACCGAGGGAGGTGCGCGAGGCTGCTCTCCGCGCTCCGGCCTGAAAAGCGGGAACCCGCTTCCAACTGGCGCCTTCTCAGAACACATCAAAGGCTGGGCCTCACCGCCCCAGGAGTTTGAGCCCGCGAGTCACACCCGGAGGGTGCCTGGTGGGGGTTCGGGGGGGTTCGTGGTCCGGGCTTGGTCTCCACGCTCCAGATCTCTGGGAGGCGCGAGTGTAGCGGTGGCCACCACTTGGGCTCCGGCAGTTCGGCCTTCTCGCCGCACTGCTGCGCACAGACACCGGGCTGCCGCCTGCACTGCTTCGAGGAGGCGCGCAGACTTTGGCAGCTGAGGTGGGGATCAATAAGTTCTAGTATTTCACTTTCCCTCTCGACATTCAGTTTGAAAATGTTCTGTTCGGAGAAAGCTGCCGCTGAAGGCAGGCAGACACGCTTTCCGCTCTCTCAACGGAAACTCATGGAAGCGCGCACTCGCGCGTGTTTGTGTGGACCCCGGGCGGGTCCGATTCGAATCCAAGTTTCTTGTGGTGTTATACCCGCTTACTCCTAGAAACTCCACAACTTTGTGGGTGAGAGTGCTTCTTTCCCAGGCCTATTGCCATGGGCATCGCCTTTACAAGACTACAAACACATAACGAGCCTCCCAAGGCCTTTAATTCTCAGGGGCGTTTTGGGAGGCCAGTTACCTGCTGGCGTCTTCCAAATGGTCCAGACTCGGTTCCGGCCGTAGAGACGCACAGAAGCCGAGAGCCTGAAGTCCCCGGCCCTGGAGGAACAAAGAGGGCTTCGGAGAAGGCGGCAAGGCCCGATCCCAGCCCAGAGGAACCTAGCAAGGATTTCGCTGCCAGAGGCTTCCTGGCCAAGGCTTTCTGAAGCCTGGCGTTTGATAAATATAGCCTGGCATTTGCCCCTGAATTAGACTCTGTTTCCTTATTTAGCCCTTGCACAATGATTTTAGATGATGTCACTTAGAGCTAAACGAGAAAATTGATCTCAGATTTGCCTAGCCTCTAAAGCCTGGTTAAGCAGATTGAGAATTAAAAAGACAGAGGAAGCGAGGGGGAGGGGTGGCTGGAGGGTAGCAAAGTGTGAGCTGCGGAGTGCGAGCGTGAAGGGCGGGCGCCGCCAGCTCAGGAGAGCGCCCCGCCTCTTCTGGGCGGGGAAGCTTAGCGCGCCAATGAAAAGTAGTCACTGACTGCAGAGGAAAAAAAAAAAAAGTTTTCCTGTTGACTGTTGGAAGCGAATTGAGCAATTATCTAGTTTACCTTCTCCTCTTGGAAGTTAACGATTGGCGAGATCTTGGCTGCGTTATTGACACAACACTTTCTATTGATAGAAATAAGTAGTGATTGTCCCGGAGTCATTGGTGCGCCAAGAACTCTGCGATGGGCTGGCAGGAGTCCATTGGGCTGGGCAGGCAGGTTCGGCTGGTGATGCTGGGGAGGAGGCGGAGGAGGCTGCTGTTGGTGATGGTGCCCGTCCTCCTCTCGGCAGGTCTGTGACAAGCGTGGAACGAGGCAACGACCGAGGAGCCCAGCCCTGGCTGACAGACGCTGGCGACTCAGACATGGACAGTAGCTGCCACAACGCGACCACCAAAATGTTAGCGACTGCTCCGGCCCGGGGCAACATGATGAGCACACCCAAACCCTTGGCTTTCTCCATCGAGCGAATCATGGCGCGCACCCCCGAGCCCAAGGCCCTGCCAGTCCCCCATTTCCTGCAGGGAGCCGTGCCCAAAGGGGATCCCAAGCACTCTCTGCATCTCAACTCGACGATCCCCTGCATGATCCCCTTCGTGCCCGTGGCCTACGACACGAGCTCCAAGGCTGGAGTGACGGGCTCGGAGCCCCGTAAGACAAGTCTTGAGGCCCCGGCGGCACCCGCGGTGGCGCCCTCGGCGCCCGCGTTCAGCTGCAGCGACCTGCTCAACTGCGCACTGAGCCTCAAGGGCGACCTGGCCCGCGAAGCTCTGCCCCTGCAGCAGTACAAACTGGTAAGGCCACGTGTGGTCAACCACTCTTCCTTCCACGCCATGGGCGCCCTGTGCTACCTGAACCGAAGTGACGGCCCGTGCCATCCGGCTGCCGGAGTGAACATTCACCCGGTGGCCTCCTACTTTCTCAGTTCGCCTTTGCACCCGCAGCCAAAAACGTATTTAGCCGAAAGGAATAAACTGGTGGTCCCAGCGGTGGAGAAGTACCCTTCGGGAGTAGCTTTCAAAGACCTGTCCCAGGCTCAGCTGCAGCATTACATGAAAGAGAGTGCCCAGCTTCTGTCGGAAAAAATTGCATTCAAAACCTCGGAATTCAGCCGAGGCTCTCCTAATGCCAAACCCAAAGTTTTCACTTGTGAAGTGTGTGGAAAGGCAAGTACTATGTAGAAGGGAGTTTTCTCCCTTCTTTTTCCTTTCCTCCCTCTCTTCCGTCCCTTCTTTTCATTCCTTCCTTCTCTGTTTTTTCCTCTCCTTCCTTCTTCCTTTTCTCCTTCCTTTCCTTTTTCTTGTTATTTGGGGGGTGCGTATTTGTGTATATGTATTATACTTCCTAGCCTCTCTCTGCAAGATTGCTTGTTGGCTAATCTGTTCTACATGTGTTTAATTTTTAAGGTCTTTAACGCACACTATAACTTAACCCGTCACATGCCGGTGCACACAGGAGCCAGACCTTTCGTTTGCAAAGTGTGTGGAAAAGGCTTCCGACAAGCCAGTACCCTGTGCAGGCACAAGATTATTCACACGCAGGTGTGTACACCTGTCTCAGTTTGCTTGCTATACTTCCAAAATGTTTGTGGAGGGAAATGGCCAATAAAGTTATTCTTTAGCCTAAGATTTGTTTAAAAGTTCGAGCTGGATGGGGTGGGGGTGGTATGTATTATTTGCCTTTGTTCAGTATAAAAGCTTTTAGAGCATTACTACGTTTTGTTTGCAGGATGCCACACAATAAAAAAGTATTTTAAATTTTTTGCTTTTCTCCCATCTTTCTTAGGAAAAACCTCACAAATGCAACCAATGTGGTAAAGCATTTAATAGAAGTTCCACTTTAAACACGCATACCCGAATACATGCAGGCTACAAACCATTTGTGTGCGAATTCTGTGGCAAAGGATTTCATCAAAAAGGTATCTAATGCAGGAGATGTTGCTTCTCAAGTTGGTCTTAGGGAAAGCCATACTCAAATCTTCTAGGGATACTCTAGAAAGTGATTTTTAAAGTATTAGTGATTTGGGGTATAGTTTGCCATTCAAACCCCCTACCCGAAGGTCTGATTAGTGTTAGAAAAAGGCATAAAGGACATTTCTTTTTAGCTACCTGACCTTGTTTGAGATAAGTGGATTAATGAGTATTATCAAAATGTAGCAGAAATTTTCTCACTCTTGGTGTTTTAAAATATACTTTGGGAAGCAAATGCCTTGCACTGCTAGTTAGAGCTGCCCTTGCTCTTCAGCTCTTCTCTTTACCATCCATGTATCCACTGACGCCTTTTCAAGCTGTTTGAAGAAAAACAAACCTTGCCCCTGTCATTTGTCTGTTTCAGGGAATTACAAAAACCACAAGTTGACCCACAGTGGGGAGAAGCAGTTCAAGTGCAACATCTGCAACAAGGCTTTCCACCAGGTTTACAACCTCACTTTCCACATGCACACCCACAATGATAAGAAGCCTTTCACCTGCCCCACCTGCGGCAAAGGCTTCTGCAGGAACTTTGACCTCAAGAAGCACGTCCGTAAGCTGCACGACAGCAGCTTGGGGCTGGTCCGAACGCCGGCGGGGGAATCAGGCAGCGACCAACAACCCCCGCTGCAGCAGCAGCCTCCCCCGACTCTGGCGCCTCTGCAGGCTCCGCTGCCTCCCGCTGGGCCTCTGCAGCCCGGGCTGCACCAGTGATCTCTGCCAAGGCTCCTCCCAACGCCAGTCAGGAACCCTGCGGCAAAGGCAGCGCACACCGGAGCTGGACCTCTTAGTCCAAGCTGGTCTGCAGGACCCAGGGGATGATGGGCCTCGCACTTTAGGGTGGTCCAGAAGCCTCTGCATTCCTAGACCTTTGGCCTCTTGCATGCATCTGCTAAATGGTTTTGTGTATTATATTCTAAATAGGCACTATTATGAGAAATTTGGGAGGGTTTGCTCTATGATATCTTTAATTTGGAAAGACTTTTCATCTCTGGATGATGGTGTTTCATCTTGGGATGATGGGAGAGATGGTGTTTATTTTGTTTTTAAAACAAATTTCTGCTGTATTTATTGAGATCTGTATTATTCTCCTCTGGAATGCTGCATCATTTTAATTTTATTATTGTATATATTTCCATTGTGTTGATTCTGCCACCTCGAAATGCCTGCTGATCATCATTCCCTCTTCCCCTGCCGTAACAAACAGTGTGTGTGTATGTTCTATATACACACATACAGATGTGTGTGCCTGTAAAGGGGCACTCCACATGTTTGAGCACACAGGCAATGCATACATATACACACATTTTAGATAAGGGTGGCTCATTATTAATGAATTTGAATTTCAATTTTGATTCTTGCACGTGAAAGTTGATTCATTGACTTTTGGAAATAAATACTTGGAACATGCTTATTTAATCAACAAACTGTAGAGCTCTGTTTGTATTATTCAGTTAAAGATCCCTGATTCTGACCCTCTCTTCTATCTTGCTTTTTTAAAAAACTGAACTTTGGGTTAATGATACCTAGTATTTTGATCTGACGGTGCAAATAATCTCTCCAAAGAGTTACAGCATTGGGTAAGGTTATGAAATTTGGTTGAGAGAGAGAGAGAGAGAGAGAGAGAGAGAGAGAGAGGTGTATTTTTCTAACAGAAACTGACTTTGCCTTGGGTCTTCGGGCGTATTTATAGTGCACAGTAAAGAGAACAATATATCTAGCAGCTGTGTGTTACATGCATTTCCACGACTGCATGACAACAACATGCAGAAAGATATCTATTGTTTGCATCCTGAAAGCACATATTGACAATTCCACACAGCTGGCAGAGCAAACCTCCGTGTTTTTATATGTGTATATATGTTCATAGACGAATATACTTCTATTCAAGGAAGAAACATGGATGAAAACCAAACTCTGGCGGGTGCCAGGTCCTTGAAACGCTTCAAGTGTTAATCAGCAGCGCCGCTGTGAGCTCCGGCTCTGGTGTTTTCTAACTGCAAGTCTCTCCTGTTTTCTTGCCAAAACAGTGAAACAACTGCTAAAGACTTTAATTAAGAGGGGTAATTAGTTCAGATTTATCAAAGCCGGGTTGTTATACTATTAGCTGCTCAGTAGAAGCTGCCAGACAAACTCACAGCCCAGCACAGTAGTCCTGCTGCAGCGGGGCCACAGCCTAGGAGAGAGGCTGGGGGGAGCGGGCCGCAGGGGTCCCCGCCTCACCCCGCAGACCCCGCCCGCCGGGGTCAGCGCCGCCAGCCTCCGGGGAGATCTGGGCCCCTCCCTCGACCCTGAGCTACGGGCTGGGCGGTGGGCGTCGAGAAGGCGAGGCGGAGCCAGGTACTCTTCCCATATCTGGAGCAGCGCGTCTTGCTAGGCTCAGGACCACCAGACAGTGGAGAGGAGCGGGCCAAGGGGTGCGTCGTAAGGGAAGGTGTTGCGGCCGGCGAAAGGCCTGGTAGAGGCTACCGCACCGGGAAACCGCTGCAATTTCCCTGCGAACTCGAGCTCACATTTCAGGGCTAGGGGGTTGACGGCTCTGGCACCAAAACTGGCCTCAGAGACGAGAAGGTGGCAGAGGAGCCGTCGGAGTGAACTTGAGCGAGAGTGGAGCCAGTCCCACGAGACACTCGAGCAGGGTTTTGCCCGGTCTCCTTCAAGATTGGGAAGTGGGAAGAAGGGTTTAGGACCCCAGAGTTCGGGCGGGCGCGGCGTGAACTCGTAGGGACTCGGAGAACAGCGAGGTCTTCACACTGAGTGTGAATGTCGCGTCCAGATGCCCCCAGCGCTGGCCCAGCGCGCACGTCGCTCGGTCTCTGGAGCCAGTCCCAGCCCGGCTGCGGCAGCAAATCTAAGCGTTTCCCTTTCCTGACCTTTTCATTCACCCCACGCCCACCCCTCCACACACGCAGACGTTGCTCTTTGCTGGGGCCAAATCCATTGTATTCGACTTCGGAAAGCGAGGGGCATTTTGGGAATTCCATAGTTGGAAAGAACTTGTATCTTAGCGAACTGCAGAAGCGCCAACTGTCTCAATGTGCAATGGGGTCGATAATCTTGTCCCAAGTGCTGGCCACAGCTCATCGCAGCTGCCGGTAGTGCAGGAGTCTCAGGAAATGACTGGGAGCCTGTGGATAACCACCTTTTCAACATGGTTTAGTTGGAGCTTTTTTGGGAATTCCATAGTTGGAAAGAACTTGTATCTTAGCGAACTGCAGAAGCGCCAACTGTCTCAATGTGCAATGGGGTCGATAATCTTGTCCCAAGTGCTGGCCACAGCTCATCGCAGCTGCCGGTAGTGCAGGAGTCTCAGGAAATGACTGGGAGCCTGTGGATAACCACCTTTTCAACATGGTTTAGTTGGAGCTTGAAAGTCTCTCTCTCTCTCCCTCTCTCTCTCTCTCTCTCTCTCTCTCTCTCTCTCTCTCTCTCCTTTGAATAAGCAGAATGAGATCAGAGGTCGTTATAACTTGCAGTGTATATATATATATTTAAATAAGGGTAGAAAATGGCTTTTGCTTCTTGAACTTATTTTCAGTAGGTATTTGAACTAACTCAGAACCTACGATGTAATACTTTTAGACACTCAAGATGACAGGATTGTGCTGGGGGAAAATGAACATTGTTGGGGAAAATTACTAAACCATAAAATCCTTCCAGTTGGGGAGTATTTATGTGCGGTGTTTCCACCCAATCGGTGCCAGTGTACTTTGACATACTGAAAAAAAAAATTAAATGAAAAAAAAAACTGGTTTGTGGCAATAGCAGAAGAAAGGAAAGAAAGGAGAGAGGGAGAAAGACAATTAGAGAAGGAACACATCTTAAACAACATAGTGGATGGGCTACGGCGATATGGAAGGACTTTATGTAAGGTCTGCTTTGGGACGTGCAGCAGTTCCAGAGAATCGGGAGGAAAATGATGGTCTTGGGCTCACAGGTCTGAGTGGCCTGGAACGGGGTGGAGTAGAGGGTCCAAAGGATACTCTCTAAAACTAAACACTCAAGAAAACCACTTGTCAGGAGATGAATTATCAATGAACTTTGATTAGAGACATCACCCTCAGAGCTTGCTAAACATAAAGAAGAATCTCCTTAAAGAGAGTAGGAGTTTAGGGCATAGAGATTAAGTTTATAGTGGGGGGGGTTGCAAGGTGGGACCCTTAGCTGAAACATTTTACAATTCTACTGGCTCCAACAAATATTGAGAGGTAACTTTCCCCTTAACTCTCTAACCTTTCTAGGTGTGCACACATATATCCATATGAGTGCGTGACTATGGGTTTATATAGATTTTTATGCTTAAAATAGTTACTTATAAAAGTTACCCTATAAACGCGAACAGCAACTTGACTTTGGTCCAGTCCATCTTGTTTTCTCTTGTGTCTAGTGAGGATGAGAGGCCAGTGTCTGAGTTAGCTATGGAGGGAACTGGTTTATCTTCAACTCTTTTGGAATTAGCTTTTGGTAAAGAGCAAGATGGCTTTCATGGCTATGGGGACCAATTTTAGAAACTCAGTAACCCACTAGAAACTTACGTTTCATTCAGTTTTTGAAATAAGAATGTTATAGAACAGAATTAACAATGCAAGTAGTTAATTCTTACCTATTTTAACAGAGAAACCAAGTACTGATGTCTAATAATCTCTTCTCAAAAGTAATAATTTGGTCAGATATTCAAAGTTTTAGTATAAGAGTAAGTTATTATGTAAGATTAGAACTAAATTGCCAAATTTTAGTAGTAAATGAAAGCATTGGTTAGGAGCCTCATGAAAGTGTTTACCTGTTAGTGATGTTTGAAACTTAGTGAGTTTTGTATGGAACTTTGTTCCTTTCCTATGTGGAAGAAATTTGCAAATGAATCTGTGCCTCCTATTTAATAGGTTTTCCCCTTACATTAGTAGCAGTTATTAATGTGAAAAAATCATAATTTTGTTTGAACACATGACAATTTAAAAATTGACTAAGATGCAATTGTAATGGTTATGTTTTACCTTTTACAAAGTACCTAGCTGGGCTTGGTGGCACATTCCTGTAATCCTGGAACTCAGAAGGCTGAGGCAAGAGGATTACTTTGAGTTTTAGTCCAGCCTGGGCTGCATAATGAGTTCAAAGTCAGCCTGAACTGCATAGTGAGACCCTGTCTCAAAAAATAAAAAAAGTACCTAATATATACAATTAAAAATATAAATGATCTCAAATTCAAATTTTTGGGTAGACATAAAAATATTTTATTATTTTATAAATCCTTGGGGAAATCTTTTTTATAAAGTTTACTTTAAGGGATTATAACTTACTTTTTTACCAAACAGTGTGCATTTAAAAGAGCTCAAAATTTCAAAACCAACTAAATCCCAGTGGATAAAGATATGTAGTTGTTAGCTATTGAGAGAACAAGTAATTTTGAACCCAATAAGACATTGCATTTTGGGGCTGGGAATTTAGCTCAGTGGTACTGCTGCTACCTGCCTCAAAAGCACAAGGTCCCAAATTTGATCCCCAGTACCAAAAACAAACAAAATTGCCTTTTTGCAATGTTTTGCTGAAGCCACATTACTCTCACACAAGAAATAATATGTTTCTATTATGTTACTTAAAACATAAATAACTATATTTACAAGTGGAAGATAGCTTGTTATAAATTTCATTGCTTCTAAAAATTATTGCATGTATCCCTTCCATCTCCAGGGCAAAGTAAAAACAAATAACATTATGCTAAGCAACATACTGGTCATTTATGTACTCTTGGTATTAAAGCAATTGCTAGTTTAAACCAACCTAGGTTATCTTACTCATGCAAGAGAAAAGAGAAAGCCTAGTATCTCAATGTCACTGGTAAGATAAAATACTTCCATTATATTTTTCTTCATCTGTTATGTATTGCATATATTATAATGTGTTATTCACAATGAACTTTGACGAAAAGTTAAAATTCATCATACAGTAGAGTAGGAGCAAAATTATCACAAATAACTAC